AGTGTAGGATATAAACCTCGCATGAGGCAAGTCCACACGTAGCTCTTTTACCCTTTCTTGTTGGAGATTCAGACTGCTACTTCGAATGTCTCATAGGCTTGCGCACAAAGGGGCACCGGAAAGCCCGAAGCCCTGAAACCTCTATCCCTGTAGTGCACCGGGCCAGAAATAGCTAGAACTTCACTTTCTCGGGAATTCAACAAACCTTGCGAACAACGCCGTTGCTTAAACGCCAGAGAGAAGGCGTACATCGGCCGGAATCGAGAATTGCACTGGGACTCCGGGCATAAGGCTGTTCAGCGTGTCCGGACGAATCCTACACTCCTAGCAAGCCCTGTACCGACACCTGAAACCCTAAACCCAATCTTTTGAAGCACTGAACAAAAATCAGGAGCCCTGAGAGGTCTCGGGTCGGATCCTTTCTTGAGGTTGTCGATGTTGAGCTTCGACATGCCTCTCCGATCCAAAACCCAAGAAGCGCCCTGAACCACCAGGCTAGCCACAGGCCTGAACTGTAGTCAGGGTTTCGGCTTGAGCCAAGGGCCAGATTCTTCCGTAAACCCTCAGCCTCCTTTGGAGCTTTGGAGTTTGAGGTGTTCTTTCTCCTGTCTGCAACTTCAGAGTTAAGAGCACAGCTAAGTAAGTCGCGACGGGGGACACTTTACAGTAGTACATGTACATGTCTCCCCTTGCTATTACAGACGAATGATCGGGCACTTGAGGCTCCTTGGTTATTTGGATGCAAATCTGCTCCAGCTATGCCACCTGGAACAAGTGACAATGCAACTTCTGCCTCGTCTTTAGAATTGTTGTTGTTGCCAGGTTGTGGCCTCCTTCTTTAGCTAGTTTGCTTGCGGTTTCTGCCGAAGATCCCAGACAATCTGCAAAGTCCGCTGCTGCAGGAGCGAGCGGGTGTACAGGCGAGAGTCATCAGACTCTCAAACTGTAGGGGCGCTGAGTACTCTCACTTGAACATGTCTCGCAGACACCCATCTACAACACGGGGTCAGTCTTGCGTGCAAAGGCATGTCAACTAAGAGGCTCCCCATGCCAACCCGCTGAGTTCAGTCTGGACCTCCACATCCTCAACCCTGCCTCCTACCCCTCATGCACTGCAAAAATCGCAATTGAATATTTGCTAACGCTGGGTTCTAGACATCCGGCACCGTGGGCACCCTACGACGTTGCCTCAACTTCCTTGAAATGCCAACATGCAGCTTGCATCCTTCAACCCTCGGTCTCTAAACCGTTAGACCCTACAGTAAACCCCAAAGCCTAAATCCTCAAGCTCGAAGACTCCACCCTGGGCCCTCGACCCTAAACTTGAATCGTAGTTCTGGCCAAGATGCCGAGACACGCCTGGCGGATGCCTCTGCTGCGCTTTGGCGCTCTTCGTACCCTACAGAGCCATAAGCCAGGCGCGCGAGAACTGCTTTCTTCGCTGTTCGTGCATTTGCCGAGGTTACCGGATTGCGGGCCCCGAAAGTAATACTGAGGTTGGCGGCTCAGGAAGTTGGGATAAACAACACTTTCGAGTCTCCATGAAACCCGGGTTGTCCCCTGCCTTTAACCGTTTCTCAGACATTGAACTCGGACGGCTATTAAGGGCTAAACTCCAACCAGAGGTGCTCACACCTAGAACCGAAACAGGCGATGTTGCCATTTCCTTTTCTTTGAAGGTGCAGTAGACGAGCCTGCACTATCTTCACAAGAAAGTTAACACATAGTTGCACAGGACTGCTGCTCTTGTCTTTGTTTGAGGCTCGTTTATTCATTCGGTTTGGGAATTCGGGCTTCGGACGCTTACTGTCCTGGGCGGGCTGTCAGCTTCAACGTTAAAGACAACAAAGACGATGCGATTTTCCGGCCGATGCGCGTCCGCTTGTCCGTGAACTGATGAGAATTATGCTGCAACGAGAAACCCGCTACTTCAGAGTCTACAAAAATCTCAAACATCAGCATCACAAACCCTGAATGGACCCTGACACCAAGTGAAGACTATAATCCTAAGTTTGCAACTTGTTCGAACCCCCTCCTAAAGCCCTGAACCGGGCGTAGTGATGTGCAGACTTGCTTGGCCGCTGTGTTCGATCGCAGAGATCGCCCGCTTTGGTTTGCAGTTGGGCTTATAGCCTCAAGCTAAGGTCGAAGGCAAACGGCTGAAGCTTTTGGGTTCATTGGTTCTGTTCGTCATGCACGATCACAGCGACTGCTATGCTTGCTACATGATCGGAAGGACTATGTCGATTGTATTGCGTGTAGTGAGATTCAGGTGAGATTCACCACTATTACATTCAGAATGTAAGGACGATGACAATGTGGTGGTTGTACGATGACCACCACACGACCATGATGGCTTTGATGATTACTGTCTTTCTGATGTCCGTGACTGCCTGGATCACTCTGGACGTCATGCCTAGAGTGGTTCGAGGAGGGACACTTCTCTTGCTGTGTAATTGCGACATGATGCCATGAAGGCAGTGTTTCACTGCTGCGACGCCGAGGCCGAGGGTGCACAGATACCTCGCGGATTCAACGACCAACGCAACAAACGCAGCTATGCCAAGCGCCACATGCTTTCAGCACGCCGCTGGAAAGCAAACTTCTGCTGGACGGTGCCGCGTGCAGGGCTTCCGGAACTACACTGAATACCTTCAGAGCCTGTGTAGCGCCTCTGTACCGACTGTCATCCAGCCTGAACCCCTTGCAACCAACCTACCGACTCTTATAGCTTGCAGGCAATATTCGCAAGACCTTGCCCGGCGATTGGGCTTTGGAGGGAGGCATCGGCGGCAGGACACTCGGATTTGCAACTGTCAAGCTTAGAACCTGTCGACAGGCCTCCAACTGCGCTTCATGACGAGTGCACGCTACAATTCATGCACCAAGAACACCAAGCCCCCAAACAAGATTTCTAAGGAGGGACGAACTCGGACTTGAAGTCTATGGGGTTTCGGGCGGTTTACCCAAAGATCCAGAGCCCAGAACCCGAAACCCGTATCACCGGCTTCAGCTCAAGCTATACGTTGTAGAAGCACAGCGCACGTACTAGGCCTTGCTGGCTGGAAAATTGTTGGCTTTGGCGTTGTTGTGACCATACAGGTTACGAGTGTTGGCAAAATGCAATGCTCCTCTGGTAGAGTTACCAGCAGGTCCCTGCACGCAGCCATCAGCAGGTCATTTCGCATTATCAGACCCCTCGAATGCTCGCAAGATGTCTAGGGTTTAGGGATGAGGTTTTCGGGCTTACCCTTCAACGACAAACTAAATGAAATGCAGCGGCCATGGTCATAACCACAATCAAGACAACAAGAACGTGCATCCGACGATTGCTGTGACCAGGAACCCCAACCCCTGCTCAACCGGTCTGCCTGCAGCAAGGCAACATGAGCTAAAACGAATGGATTATGATAATTCAAAAACCAACAAGAACAGAAAATAACAGCAATGAGTATGACTGAAGACTCCATCTTGCGGTGTTGGACTTCTTTTGCGACTTCGAAGGATTCGAAGGGTTCGGGAGACTGGCATGTGGGATTAGGGTTACAGTCAGAGTTTGAGGCGCGGCCTTGGAGTATCTAGGAGCCTAGGTTCAACACGCGGGGATGTGGCACGAAAAAGCGCCATGCGATGCAGGGGGGCAACGGCATCACGTTCCCAGGTGTGTTTCTTTTTGGAGCTTAGCCGTTCGTGCTTCAGGCCGTTATGGCATGCATGCTCCAAAGCCCGCACGTACACACCGGAATTCGGCAACTTAGCCAACTGGGAATGCGACCCCGAGATTGGTCTTGACACGGTCAAAGCCACTCCAGCTTCACACGGAGGACTGCAGCTAGCGGCCTCTGTCAGCCTACATTACTGTGATGATGACAAAGATGGTGGTGATAATCGTGATTAAAATAAGAGTGATGGAGATTTGACGGTTTTTATGAACATCCTTGGAATTATTCATGGTATTTACATGCACCTTGTGTCATACTATACTCTCGTATAGTTCACTAGAACTCAACAATGGACCATGATGAAAGAGGTGCACTTCTGGCTTGGGGAACTCAGCACTACAGGGCTTAATTACGCCTCTCAATGCATGGCCAGGCTGTAGGGTGCAGAAAGGCGTACTTGGACGATGTATGTCGCATTTCGGCGACAGATCTTGGGATTATGCCATGAAAACTCTTGGTTGAAGGCTAGTGCTTTGGGTGTCAATTGGAGGGCTCAGGTTTTGCAGCTTCGCTTGCCACAACATAGATACGAGCTACTGAGGACCTACTGCCTTCCCGGCACGCTGCCTTCGAAACCCAACGCCGCCTGATCCTGCGCCCCAGAGTTCAAAAAAAAACTCAACATTCGCAAAACCCTGCAATGACGCCCTACAACCCTCAAGGCAAGACTCAAAGTCTCGTGCCAAAACCACACAGTACCACACCCGAAGAGCTCTGAACTCAGAAACTCAGAATACCCAGCCAGGCGCCCCGAACCTCGACCACCCAAAGAGCTGCTCAACTCTTCAAGGCTTTAATCTTGTTGGAGGTGGCCTGCCAAATAGCTTACCCCTTTAGGGCTTCGGCGGCCATGCTTTGGGCTTCAAAGTTCAGGAACTTAGGGTCCGGATACCGAAGACGTTCGGATGAGGGGTTCTGAGCGCACGGATTTCGATTTTCTACGGGCCTCTAGCAACCGTCACGCGGTCTTGGATCGAGTGTCTGGCTCTTGGGCAAGACTGGGTGACTTTCAACCCTGGCTGGGTTTAGGAGTTGGACTGAGGCCCTTGGCTAAGGAAGGTTTTGGGACCGTACCCTGGCTGGAGTACCACACTTTCAGCTTAAAAAGGCTTGCAGAGCACCAAGTCACAGCAGAAAGACCGCATCGAAAGCTGATCAAGCGATCTAGCAGCTTCAACAGTTGCACTTAGCAGAAAGGCTGTGCCACCTTTTGCAGGCTTTGAATGTACACACTGCGAAAGCTAATGTAACACCATGCAAACCTTGCAACCATCCAAGTCAAGTCCGGATCCTCTGCAAACCTCAAATGCTACCAGGTCCAAGAAGCAAACCAAACCCCTCAAACCGCAAACCGTGGAAAACCTAAAGCCTAAACAGCCTAAACCCTGAACCCCCAAAACCCAAACTCCGAACCTAAACCCTGAGAAGACCTCCTCGAGCTTCTCCAACATTTTGTCGAGCTCGCTCTCCTGCGCTACGTCAAACGTCCCAAACGACGCTCTCTGAGGAAAAGCAGAGCTTTCAACAAAAAGAAAACTCAGTGCTTGGCAGACTCGGTTTCGTCGGGCAAGGAAGGGGGGGAAGTGCCGAGACGAGTTTGAGAATTGAACACGCAGGGTCCTCAGCCAGGCAGCTTCCCATACATCAACACGCCCAGAACAAAACCGGCAAAAGGAACCGTTGGCAAAGCCTGTCACAACCTGCATCAGCATGGTCTCTTGATGAAACAATTTGAGTATCCATTCCTTGGAGATCTCGTTGATCGCCTTGCCGATCCCTTTCTTCGTCTCGGGGCTAATCTGACCATCTTGCTTCCAGTCCTGGCTTCTCGGGTTCTACGACTGTTTAGCCCTCCTTCACGGTTTAAGGCGTCGTCAGTTCTGGGACTCTTTAGTCGGGAGGCGTTGGTAGTGGTTTCCTGAAGTCTCTTCATCAGGTCTCTGATATGTCTGAAAGGCTTCAGGGAGCGGGGGTCTGAATTACGGTTAGAAGTACAATTCCTCGTTGTTGCTACAAGGTGCTGTCAGGCCACCTTGCGGCTTCGGGATGGAGCTTTCCAGGCTTTTAAGCGGTCAGCCAAAGCTTAGGAAGGCCAAGCCTCGACAGTGACCCTGTGGATCCTTCAGGGTTACCCTATACAGGCAGTTAGCAAAGTCTGTACTCGTCTTTAAAACCGAACACACTGGGGAGAGGTGCTAAACCCCTCAATCTAGACCCCCTAAACCCATCCTAAACCCTTTCGCCACCTAAACCCCTTACAGCCTATCCCCTAAACCCCAAACCCCTCAACCTCAACCCCGACCCCTAAATTGAAAAGCAAAAGAAAAAACAAGAAGGCACACCGCGATGGGCCTGGAGAGCACCTAGCTGGCGCTCCAGGTCCTGGTACAGCCATGGTGTGGGGTTCTCTGGGACTCGAGGGTTTTGAGACATCACCGCCATGATCTGCAGTGGCAGTCGTAGTCGCAATAGTAGTAGTCGTCGTCACCGTCGTCGTCGTCGTCGTCGTCGTCGTCGTACTGGTGGTGTAGCAGTAGCAGTAGCAGTAGCAGTAGTAGTAGTAGTCGTAGTAGTAGTACTAGTAGTAGCAATAGTAGTAGTA